CCCCCTCTCTCTCTCTCTCTCTCGCTCTCTCTCTCTCTCTCTCTCTCTCTCTCTCTCTCTCTCTCTCTCTCTCTCTCTCTCTCTCTCTCTCTCTTTCTATCTCGATCTCTCTATCTCTGTTTCTCTTTCGATCCGAGCGCAACGTCAAGCGTTCGCAGCTGCACTTAACGCTGATCAGGAATAACGATCGCCGGGCTGTTACACACGACCCGGCAAAATGGCCGGTATAATTGAGAGCTCTCTGTTTCGGGAGCAGGGATCCGCCCTGAGATAGTTAGACGTTGGCAGCTCTGTTTGCGGTAAGATCTAATTAGAAACTTCTACTTGAGTACCATTGAAAAGTATCGCTGTTATTATTCGAGGATAGACACTAACGTTGGGAAGTTTGAAGTGGCAGCAGCTTTGCTAGTCCTTTGTCTTAGTAAATTTTCATTGAGCTACTGGAAATTTTTCGTAGTTCAACTAATATGGAAAGTGAAAATAATCAAACCGCGTGGATGTACGAAGAATGGAAGAGTTCGACGCTCTCGGTGAAAGTTTAGTCGAGATAATCTATAGAATGGAGTTCTAATTGTAGTTGAGACCTCGCATGCGTCGGCAGCTCGAGTTGCAGCTCGCGAACCCAGAACTCAAGGAGCAATTCGGTTGCGTGTACATTGAAAAGCGAAAGCTGTAGAGCGGCTGTGCTCCAGCCGTGAATATCCTCGCCGAGATCAGCACTTAGGAGAACGTAACCTTCCATTTACAAATATCCGGATTTGGGGATTTGCCCCTGGTTTAGACAGGTTTAGGTATCACTACGAGCTCCATTTACCTTAATCTACAATTAAGAGCACCTCCAAGAACCCGGTAACAAAGAGCTCTATTTACCAGAAAACTAGCAAACGGCGGATATTCGCTCTCCGCTCAAACCTTCGTCCGAAACCATCATCCAAATACGATCCACCCTAACGAGTTATCATCTTCACGATTCTACTCCGTTCTACACGTCGTTTCTTTTTACTCTGCAAAAGTCACGTACATCCAACCACTCGATCGCTGAACAATCTTCAATTAGTCACAACCTACGATTCCATCGATTATCTATTTCATTCGCGAGATCTATTATGCCCAATTCTCCATTCACGCTCTCGACTTCCGATCACAGGCAACGAATAAAAGAATCCTCGACGAAGGTAAACCGATTCATCGGAATCTCGTAAGCGGATTTTCACCGTTAATAACGAGGCTGTACAAACAGCGAGCCATGGCTGGTGTCATTGTTGGGCACGGCTCGCCGTCGCCCTTAATGGGCATAACTCTCGAAAAATTCCTTTGCTTCGTAGCAAAGATCGGGCAGACGTTAATGGCTTTCGGAAGATCGCGAAGAATCGGTTGCACGAAGAGAATGGTTTGGTCTTTTTTCGCGAGTAACGCAACAAGAAAGAGAATGGAGCTCGTTTTCGACGAAACGGCCGTGGACCGGATAAATGGGTTTGGAACCGTTTGCCGGTTTTTCGAGCGCGGAAACGAAGGGAGAGAGGACCAGGTTGAATCGTGGCCGACGCCTCGGACACGGCCACGTTCCGACTGTGTAAAGCCTCGCAACGCTCGCATTCAGCCACGCTTCAACCCGCTGGAAACGCGGCCGCTGTGTTTTAATCCCGCTGTTTCCCTCTTTTTTTTTTAGCGTTGTTTTATTTAGAGCGCGGCTTTAAACGGCTCGCAACCGGCGCAAACATTTCGCTAACGGTTTCACTTTTACGCCGCTGCGCCCCGAAATGATCCGGCAGAGCTAACTCTCGGTGAAACGTGACCGATCCTACGCGAATGCTTCCGGGTTAATCGAACCCATCACAACCACCCTTTAATCCCAAATTCTTCCATTTTTTCCGTTCTGCGGAGTAAATGTCTTCAGAAATGTTTTGCGCATGAAGGATACGAGATTCGAGGACTTTTTTGTAAATTCTGATAGGATGAGACTCGTGCGATCTTTATAGTAGCACGGCGTCACTGGACGATGTCAATCCCGAAATGTTAAGATTACTCTGCTAATTATGACTGGCGATACAACTAAAATCCTCTTTGCTATTTTCTTTTTAAACAAGCAGCGTATTACGAAAAATAAATTGAATCTTTCTCGAAAATAAGTAAATCAATCTCGGTCACAGACTTTGTACAATCCGTGAAAAACAATTACGCGATCCTCGTGACATTTATAGCACCAAAAACTAATTAAAGAAAGAAGCGATCGTTGAAAAATCGCATATCTCTTAAATCACAATTAACTCCTTCATGGACGAACTTCTTATAACCAGAGGAAGAGAGAATTGTTTTTTATCTTTCAGTGATAGTCGCTTGAAACACATTTATTAACTATATTAGATACACGATACTAGAAAATATTCGAAGAAAAATGATCGACACAGTTTTAGCCACTGTATCTTTGCGTCTTTTGATGCGATGTTTGAACTTTATCGAATCTTCCGTTTTCAGATTGGGCCTGATGTCATCGTTGATAGCGGGCCGATATCCGGTCGGAATTGGCGTCGGCGGCGTGTTCTTTCCGTCGACGTTGCAACACCTTCACCAACAACAGCAACACCAACATCACTCGCGGTTGGCAGCCGCTTCGTCGGCCTTGAGCAATGCCGTTCAGGTCACCGGCCAATCGGATATCGTCGATGCCGACGGCATCCGTGGCGTTCTACCCGGTGGCGCCGGTTGGCCGTTTCCATGGAGGCCGACGCACGGTCTGCAGACGCTGGAACATCCGTCGCCGAGCGACGTCGTCGGCAACTTGAGCCGCGTTAGTCCTGCTTCCGCGTCCTTTCCGCAAAGGGGTGAGTTTCCAATGCCAAGAATCAAGAATTCTACCATTAGGCAAAAATTTGGATATAGTCTTTAATTAGGAAACTGAAAGTAATTCTTGAAGTTGAACCAACAATTCAAAGTATCCTTCTTAGTGTCACTAAGCGATAGATGATGGACGATAGTTCGGATTAAATTGATTAATTTTAGAGTATTAATTTACTTTTAAAACAAATAACGTTATCTTAGTTTGTATTCTATATTCGATTCTCGAATCGAAATCGATGTAACAGGACAAGGGCATACTCGTTTATCCTTGATACATTCACCCATAGATGACATAATAAATGATCCGATTAGGAACCATTTAACCAGAAATCTACTTGTATCGAATATACATATACTCGTACAAATATTCTACAAACATTCTAGTAGTATGATTATGCGTGAAATCGTGTCGACTTGTTGAATCATAAATTTAGGCTACTCGTGCGTGATAGAGGCTTGTAAACATTCTCGTGCGGAACAACTCGTTGATTGAAAATCGTGCGCTCGCTCTACCTGCAAATAGACCGTTGAATGAACGTGGACATCAACGATGCATCTATCGTTGCACATCAATCCTAAATTGCGCGGAGAGAACGTGATCGATTGATTGACATAATTTCTTGCAAACGGCCTGTTTGTACACCGACAAAACTCAATTATCACGGTTGAAAGAAACAATCCTCTTCCTGTAGCTTCTGACTAAATCGTCGATTTTTATGCGAGATAGAGGGCACAAAAGTGACGTACTGTTTGGTTGCAAGGAAGTATAAATAAGGGATGTTTTACGAGAGAAATTGATCCGCAATGAAATACACTTGGGAAGATGGGAATTCGCGAGTATCGTAAAAGAAACTGGAAACGGTATGAGAAAAAGAGAAAAGGGCAAGACGAGGGCTCGTACGCGTTGTACGTAAGTGTATAAACGCGAGCGTGGACGTCGACGAGTACGGCTTCCACGGCTTCCACCACGACAAACCAACGTCGATCGCCT